CATTTAAGAAAGAAAGAAAGAAAGAAAGAAAGAAAGAAAGAAAGAAAGAAAGAAAGAAAGAAAGAAAGAAAGAAAGAAAGAAAAGAAAGGAAATACACAGAACAAGAACAGTGGCCAGAGTGATGTGCAGAGGCCCACACAGATGAATTACAATTTTAAAAAATGGTCTTAGAAAACTGGTAACACACATGATTGTTTGGGTAAAGACTAGAGCCACAGTTATTTTCTTTAAGAAGTTAGTAAATCTCAGGGCTGGAGAGATGGCTCAGTGGTTAAGAGCACTGACTGCTCTTGCAGAGGACCCAGGTTCAATTCCCAGCACCCACATGGCCGCTACAAACCATCCTTAACTCAGTTCCAGAGGATTCTGAAGCCTTTTTCTGACCTCCGAGACATTGCACGACATGGGTGCACTCATGTACATGCAGGCAATACACTCATACACATAAAATAAAAATAATAAAGAAAATATTTTTTAAAAAAGAAGTTAGTAAATCTCTCATTTAGGTTCCCATGGAAAGTAGAGTTTAGACATGCTAGAAAAGGGTAAACACCTGAATTCACCACCTCATTTCCAAAAAGAAAACCTTTCTACCCAAACCAATCCCGCGATGCTCTGCAGGCAGTTTGCCTGGCAGCCACCTGAGGATCAAGAGAGACATAGGCTTAGAAAGGGTCATTGTTCAGACCAGCTTTCAAGAGGTGAGGCTGTGCTGTAGCACAAGAGCACCACCTACTGAAAAAGTTCCAAGGGATAAATAAGTCAGTCGTGGAGTGATGGACTTCAAGCCATTTCAACCAGCTGGTTCCTTTCTCTTTTAAAACTAGAGGGAATGCTTGCCAAAACTTCCCCAAAATAAACAGTATATCTTCTCACTCCTCCCATCTTCCTTCAATTTCCACAGGAAAACTAGTCTCCTTCCCTAACCACAGCTGTAGCTAGCTCAATGAATACTGTTGTTTCTAGAGCCCTCTTCACATTTTCCATGAGGCACAAAAATCTTCAAGGGGATTGAGGAGAAAGTTGAGTCAGTTGAGCACTTATCTAGCATGCAGAAAGCCCTGGGTTCAATTCCCCAGTACTGGAGGGGGAAAAAAGATAGTAGAAAAGAAA